TTATGGAATTTAAATAAGTAAATAATAATTGGCCTTCAGAACACTGCTGCAGATTCTGAAGGCCACTTTGGCCGCGGTCCTGGCGTAACCGCGGTAGGATCGCGGCAGGACACGTATGGCTTATAGTATATTCTAAAAATCTCCCACTTAAACTAATAACCATGCGTCTACAATTTTGACACCCATTCCTTCTACATGCTTATCAAAAGTCTTCTGTGGTAAGCTCTTAGTAAACGGATCCACCAAGTTATTTTCTGACGCAATCTTGGTGACCACTACATCCCCTCTCTGCACTATATCACGAATTAAATGATATTTACGCTCAATGTGTTTTGCCCTTTTATGGATTCGTGGATCCTTTGAATTTGCAACCGCACCACTATTATCACAATAAAGTGTAATTGGCGCTTGAATCGAGGGAACCACGCCCAACTCTCTCAGGAAGTTACCGAGCTAAACTGCCTCTTTGGCTGCCTCAGAAGCTGCCACATTTTCTGCTTCCATGGTAGAATTAGCAACACAAGTTTGCTTGATACTCCTCCAACTTATGGCTCCACCTCCAAGAGTAAACACATTACCTGAGGTAGACTTTCTAGAATCTCTGTCTGATTGGAAATCCGAATCAGTATACCCAATAGGTACAAGGTCATCCGAATGGTAGATCAACATGTAATCCCTAGTCCTTTTCAGGTACTTGATTATATGTTTAACCGTCATCCAATGCTCAGGATTAAACTGAAATCTGCTAACAACACCAACGGCAAAGCAGATATCAGGCCTAGTGCATAACATAGGCTCCCTACAGCTGATGCATAAGGGACCGCCTTCATCTTTTCTATCTCTTCATTAGTCTTAGGAGACTGATCTTTAGATAGAGAAATTCCATGTCTGAAAGGAAGAAATCCTTTCTTGGAATCATGCATGCTAAACCTGGAGAGTATTGTATCAATATAAAGATTTTGGGACAAGCCTAATAACCTTTTCTTTCGATCTCGCAAGAGTTTGATCCTAAGGATATGAGCCGCTTCTCCCAAATCTTTCGTATCAAAATGTGTAGACAACCACTGCTTAACTGAATTCAACATGCCCACATTATTTCCTATGAGCAGTATGTCATCTACATATAAGATCAAAAATGCCACTTTGTCCCCATCCCACTTTTTGTATACACAAGACTAGTTGAGACACTGATCAAAACCAAATGTTTTAATCGCCTTGTCAAAACAAGTGTTCCATGCCCTAGATGCCTGTTTCAGTCCATAAATGGACCTTTTAAGTTTACACAATATGTGTTCCCTGCCACTTTCCACGAAACCGTCTGGTTGCATCATATAAATGCACTCATCAAGACTTCCATTAAGAAAGGCCGTCTTGACATCCATTTGCCAAATCTCATAATCA